GCTTCCCCATTTGGGTAGACCATGCCAAAATCCGCATAAACTTTTCAATCGCCTGAATCATAACCGTTTTAATTTACTATTTGTTTTGCCTATGACTACCAAATTTAAATAGATAAAATCATTAATGTATAATTACATTCATCCAGGGAATACCGAAACTACAGCCATTACGAACATTATTATTTTAATAATAGGGAATCATAACTACTAAATTTTACTGGTGGCTGTTCTTTCTCTCTTAACTGTGTGTTGTAGAACATTCAGGTTTGAAAGGAGCAGAAGTTGATGGGGAAGTGATCGTTATATCTGTTAAATCTTTATCAATTTTTTTGGGCTTACACCTTATAAACAGTTAATTTTCTTTCCTACGCTTATTGAGCCACACTCCGGATGCAATATCATGTTGTGATATGGGTAGTAAATGAGTCCTTTTCCTTATTAAATCTTTCATTTTTAGTAGAACCTGGCCGTGATTGTGATAATGGTGTTTTAAGAGCTTGTAAGCTAAATGGGCAAAATTCATCTGTGAAGTATTTTCTCCTTCCCAGACATGGTTCAGTTTTTCTGACCAATGCAATATTCCTGAATAAGGCAAGTTAGTAAAGTATTTGCATGCGTAGCTATTAGAGTAATGTTATATTGCTATATGAGCCTCAATTCTAAATAATAGGTGACTAAGAATTGACCATAAGGATCGGAAACTACTGAAGTCCCCATGATTCATCCCATCTCTTTAGGCATTAACCGACCAAAATATGCAATAAGGAATATTTTTTTAATTCACTAGCAAGCCTAATTAGATTTTAGGCGCAAACAATGCCCTACATTTTCTTATATGCATCATTCCACAGGCATTCCGGACTTCTGCACTGCCACTAGAAAAAGGAGTGTATGGTCTTCCTCATCTTGCGAATTCTTCAGGAGGGAATCGTTCTAAACAACTCGTAATTAAGATGCTCCCTTACTAGCCAGTTGCACAGAATGCGTTGACTGTTTTGATCATAAGCTGAGCCCTTCCAGTAAGAAGCAGTTGCATAAAACCTTATATCTGATGCACCATGGAAGGTGTGAGACCTCAAAATCTCCTTCTGGAATGAGTAGTAAAAAGTTTAAACCGAAATTCGTTTATCGGAACAGGTCAACCCAAATCATGACCGTGCAAAGTTTTGAGATGACAAAAATTACAATAGCTGACTTCTTGGGACATTTGTGCAAATACTTGTAAGTGGTAGCAGCTGCCAAGACCTAATAGACCTAATTGCTCATCCTTCTCCCCAAAAGAATGGCATTTCCTACGCCCTTCAACACAAAAAGGCATCTTTAGACAATGAACGAGTGGTAACTAACGTGCGCTAACTACCTCTGCATCACAATTCCACTCAAATGTAAAACATTTATTTAAATACTTTGAAAACCTAGAAACCGCAGCCGGTATTTCTTTTAAGTTAAGGGTGATATTAGAAACATCACCCCAAACCATTCAATTTGCCCAAAGTTTGTCACTGAATAACTTGAAAGCGATTTTATTGCTAAAAGGAGAAATAAGATGGCCAATGAGTTAACGCCTTCAAATGAAATAGGACTAAAATGACCTGGAATGATCATTAAAAGTCTCATTGGAGAAACATTCCATTAAGAGATTATTACCCTAATTGTATTGTGTCCTAATTTGCAATGGAACTCCAAATCACGACATCTTGTAGCAATTGTGCTATCAAACTAATACCATTGTTAAATTATAGGTGAGGATCGGCACAATGACCAAAGCGATCCCAACAGTTAAGTAGATGATCTCAACTTTATGGTCAATTTTAAAAGTGGTAATTATTATAATGGCAACAAGTAAGACTCCGAATAAGTGCAGCCCATGGGTCTATGAGCATGTCTAGACTTCATCAAATACCAGAGCTTTAGTCGAAACATCTCTTTAAAATATAAAGCTTGATAAGATTTAGGCTTTTTTGCAATAAATGCAGATTTAATTACCCAACAAGAGTAATCTACATCGCTGACATTAGTAAATATCCACAAATCCTACACATTGCAATCAGTCAGTAAGTTGCTTCACAGCAGAGAGATGCACACGCGATAAAAGTACTGAGGTGTGTGCGTGGTAGGTTTTTCACTATCTTTCGCCCCTTAACCCCAACAGCCTTCCCCTCTCTTGGCCACAGAATGGCCATTAAGTATTGCCGAAACTTGGTCTTGGCTCATCAACCTGAAAACTTTTAATGTTGATGTTTAATTATTTGTCTCTATTACAGTAGTTCATTACTGGGAGCAAATGTAAACAGCTCTAGCAAGGGACTTTCTGCCACCACATTCTCCAAATGATATAGCGCCAAGGATATTTCTTAATTCAAAAAAGGCGCAAGCACGTCCATTAGGTTTTACCCAAATTTCATAGAAAGATGGTTCGAGAGGAAGGGAAAGTAGTGAAGGGTCGGTAAAGAATACGGCACCGATTGACGCATTTCTATGTATATTTTATAATACGTGCACACAGACTCCTACATGCATTTTACAAATCTCTCCAAATTTCAGTACTCCATTGAAGCAAGAGATGCCGAAAGCCAAACAAACATTTCTGACCACCCTATGCAAAAGATGTTGTACACACTTCTGATTTCAAATTTACCCGCTTTATTGGGATTAAAACTTTTTATATTTCATTTAAAGACATAAAACTGAATAAATCAAATATGTATGTAGGCACGGTGTTGCCGTTTAGAGTTGAGAAAGTCATGAATTTTAATTACTGAATGCTGCCCCTCCCAAAATTCCTTATTTTACAGCAGCGTCCACGACATCCATAAAGACGTTATAAGGTGTTTAAACTTAGGTACTAAGTGGAAATCGAAGTTACAAAAGCGACGGTGTGAATGGAATACCGTGGCACAAAGGTGGGTGCTGCTATCGCAGACCCCGTGCTCATGAAAAGTCAACTTGACTAAATATTGTTTTTGTATACAAAATTCAACACTGAGTATGAAAAATCGCACCAACTTATGGATATGAACGGATTGAATTGTTCCGAAATTGGCTTAAGCCGCAATGCTTGAATTATATGTTTAATTCTTCGTTTCGGTTTTGTGGGCACGTTAAGGTCCTCTTTTGTACTTTCGCTGGGCGGCATGGCCTCCGACTCATGCCAGCAGCCCTCAATCTTTCGTACGTCGGCAATGCATAATCTGCCCTGGTATGATGACTTCCATCCCCCTTCAGGAGAGACTTAGGGCGCTACAAAAGCAAAATTGTTGATGTATTGTTTACCGTGTTGATATATTATAATACATTTATTAATTCTTATCATATTTTAGGCCTAAAATCTCCTATTTTTTGGTAAAAAATCAGCATAATAAGCAAATTTGTTAATGATCATTTTCCATGAGATTTTGATCCTGGATCACATTTGTGGTAATTTTGCCGTTGTGGAATTGTAAGTGCTTATTTTGATTCTAGTTGTGAAACAAAAAGACAATTTGGATAAATCAACTATCAGGTTGTTTTACTTTTACAAATGCATCCATCTTACTTCTCGGGAGATCAGAAGTGCCATCTGAGGGCTTGTTATTTACGGCTTCCACAGTGAATATTTAGTGCTTCCAGTTATTAATCTGCCATAGTTAATCACCTTCATATTTGCCTTACTAATTGCAGCTTGATATGAATAGGAGATTTCAGTAGTTGTCGCCAATTGCGAATTCAAATTTTCACGAGGCTTAGAAAGTAGATTGCGAGCAGATTTTGAATTTGAGTTGATGATGAAATCAACGACGATATACGAATTGAAATTTCTCAAATCACAATTTGCTCCTATTCACAGTATATGAAGCCTTGTACCATTTTAAATCCTTAAAATAATTTTAATTCATTAAAAACTGACAAGCGCTTGCGAATATGTCGAAACATAATAGAATAGCAAGTAACAAATATGTAGCCTCCTAATGATGTGAAAAAATAGATATTCCAGTGATGGTTATAACCAATGTTTTTCTCAGTCTGAATTTGATGCCTAAAGTTATTTGCAAACAAAAGTGATGACATGTAAAGGAGTAAACCCTTAGATTTAGGAATTTTCCTGTTCCACTTTTGCTACTGCGGGAAACTTGAAAGAACTGGTAAAAATAATAATAGTTGCACTGCAATGTAGGCTGAAACTTCAGTCTGAGTAGCAATTTTGATCACTTAATTGGAACGTTCTGAAAAACCTAGATGACCTACAGTAATTAAAATGGGAGGTTTGTATTTTATAGTGTTTTAAAGGAGCTTCTTTTCATAAAATTTAATTAGAAAATGATTGTGAATTGGTCCTGGCAATTGGACGGTAATTACTATCTTACGTATACCTTTGCTATCTAGATAACTCACATTTTATTTGAGAAATTTAACAGAGGTTTCGTTTGTGCTTGCAATGAAATTAATCCAACTAGGTTTTGAAATTATCCTAGCACCAGGAATCGCTCGAAATAAAAAGTTTTCAGAGTTTGATAAATTAGCTCTAGGACCTACTTTCAATTCAATTCCTCGTCAGCTCCAGACAAAGTTATTGAGTTCTGGGTCAGCCTCAACGCTGCAATGTGACATTAATGTCCGGAGATCAGACCGCCATGTTGTTAAGACGGTAACCATAATTTACGGGGACTTAAGAGTGGGAGTAACCAGACTGCAGTTAAAACAAATATAATTTTTGTTCAAAAGTTATGCAGTTATCAAAAAACACTCACTTTTCCTAACAATGCGGCTGCCCATATTTGAATGAACTAGAAGCACATAATATCACTTTGTTTACTTTAGTGATTAGATTTCACCAACTGATAAATTTCGTTATTCGTTCTGTGGAACGGATTTCCATAAACTAGCTTAAAAGGATTAAATACTTTTGAGGAGGCCCTACCCTGCCTGTTTTTACTTTTAGTCCGATAATGCGTGACCGCTTCAGCTTTTTGGGTTTTCAAAAACACGCTCTCTTAACAACAGCCCTTCTCCAGTTTGCAAAGGCCCTGTAATAGCCTCTTGCCGTTATTGTACCGCCCTTTTACAGCAGTGCCTACGGGAAAAGAAATTTGGCAAGTTTCCTCTCTCTGGAGCCTGAAACTTTGTCTTTAACAGGATGACATGTGTTCCTTTAATACGCTTACATTGATCACAAAGTCGTCTGTTCATGTAAATAAGCTTCTTTCGGACTAACTAAATCAGCCCAAATTTATTTTACATACTAAGCTTTAAAATACAAAAAAGTGTCTTTCATCTGAGACTGCTATTTTATTAAAAATTTTACTAAAATTTTTGCTGCAATTAAACTGGCACTATACTCATTAACACTGCAATGTCAGAGTGATATTGAACTTTTGCATAAGCTGATATGTAAACACGATGCAGACAAAGCCCCTTCTATCCGAAACCACCACTGAATGACCCTTTTCGTATCAACACTAGGGTTACTTATCACTAAATCAAGGGATACAAATCCTTAAGTCCACTATTTATTAAAGGGCACATTTGAAGCAACGTAAGTGTATTGCTTTGATAGTTTGTATAACTCTGCGTTTGAATACACTTTTACTGAGCGGCATAGTCTCCAAGCCAAGCCGGTAGCCACTCAGCTCTTCTCTACGTCAGCAATATATCTTCTGTCATATTACTGAAATTTCTAAACTTTGGTTTGGTAGAAATCTATGAAATAACTTTAAATGAATACTAAGTAATAAATGCATCTTGTGGAATTGACATCAATGCAAAAGGCCACCATGAACTAGCCCATTCACCTGAATTAAGCATTCTACTTTAAAACAAAGAAAAAAGAAAGAAAAAGTGATAGATTAACCACTTCAAAGCTTACTAAGTAATTAACTTTGATTAATTTATGATTTAACAAACAGGAATCCACCCTTTTGGCAGTTACCATGCGATTATGTAGCGAGTTGAGACTTCCCTGCAGATGACAGAAGACATAATACTATAGCAGAGCATGTACCATCGACATGTAGAAGAGCTTGGGGCCACTGGCATGGCTCTGAGGCCGGACTGCTCAGTTGGGGTGCAGTGGCGAAGGTTCAGAACGGAGTTTAACAAACAATTGACAAATTACAACTAATCGTCTTAGCAAGTGAATTGATTTAATTATAATAATCAAAAGCCGCTTTAACGCTAGTGTGTGTAGAGGAAAGTCTATATTTTCGTTAAAATCGTAAGTTTAGGAGCACTAGTTTGTCTGCGTTATCCTCCCCAACCGAAAATAAATTATCACAATTATTCAACGCTTGTGCATAAAGCAGTTTATTTTTAAAATAACCTATTTCTCACATACAAATAATATTCCGACTTATTCAGATACCCTAAGTCCTGTCAGAAAGCATATGCAACACCGCATTACGTGCCACCAAACCAACTGTTAACCAGTGCAAGTTCTGATCATCAACGCATTCAGCAAATCATCGCTCAGAAAAACTGCTTAAATGATTAAGAAACCATCCAAATTTCCTTTGCGTAACTTGTTTTAAGATCATGAATATTTTACGGCTGATAAGCCGCTCCTTAACTGCAGGCGTGATCAAAGGCTTGAAGTCTAAAGGCTTTTATTAGAGGTAGTCCAAAAATTTCGCGACGTCATGGCTCAATATTGTCTCAGTTGTATTAGGTGTCGGAATATTTGTGGCCTAACTCCTGGGCCCTTACAAGTGTAGACGATTTAGCGTAGTGTCTACCAAATCCCTTTTATAGCTGTCTCACTTGATTTTATGGTTCTTAAGCCGTAAGGGAGGCACTTTTACAAACTCTTCTTTAATTTATCCTCTTGCAAAACCACATATTATGCAAATTAAAATCGATTTAGTTTGTTTATTTATTTTGTCAGATACAATTTAAGTCCAAAACTCAAGGGGGCATAATTCCGCATCGATATTAAAGTCTATCGTTGAGGATTTAAAATGAAAAGCTTGATGGATTGTACATAAGTACCTAAGTAACATAAGAAATGAAGGATGTAATGTAAATGTAAAGCGATTGTTTGCATTTGTAAGGAAATCCTCCTTCAATGTGTTCTTGGGTGTTTGTTTAGGCAAAGGATTTAAATTCCAAAGCATAACTAGCAAACATTCGCCAGACTGCATTAGAAATTCACCGCTAAAGTTGATAATCCAAGATGGAGTTAAAACGTAAAATTGAAAGCAAGTCGCTAACCATATATATTTTAAACGAAGCAATACCTCTAAGTCGGTAAAAGAAGATCTGAAACGGTTGAATTGCAAGCCAAATGATCTGTAAATCGCAATCATGATTCTACTCAATCCTCCATCCTGAGTCAACAAAATGCTGTATTTATTCAGTAGAGAAGAAAATTTGCTAGGTTTCGTTCACTTCCTGTAAATAGTGGATTTTGTTAGTTAAAGGAAATAGCGTTGAAGCTCTGTGCTACAATTTTTCAAGATATCGTATTCAAATTATATACCATAGAGCGGTATCCCCCTACTAATATGTAGATCTGTCTGATGAAAGACGATTTTTATCTAGTCTATTTTTCAGCGATGCTCTGCGGCACAAACACTTTTGCACAATCCTGTCACTATTGAGCGTTTTGTTGTCGAAAGATATAGGTTTAGTGTGTAGTCCGATTTCTTCCGGTAGGCATTAGATGTACGAATCTGGAGTGTTTGTGCGGCACTAGTAAAAGTAACAGACATCAAAAGCAGCAAACTTTGAGTAGGCGCACTTTTTACGCATTTTCTATGTCTTTACGCACTTATTGTTGGTTCCTTTTTAATGAAAATCTGGAGATCGTCGTAATTTAGTCACACTTCATTCGTTGACTCCATTAACTTTTTTGTTGTGGGTCTTTCCGACTTCAAATATTCATGGAAAACCCTTCTATCTGCTGCATTCAGGTCTGGAATTCATTAAACTTCATTAAAATTTGCGTTCTTTTGGGGTGAGTCTATTGCTGTTATTTCTAATATAACAGCTGGATCCTCCTTAAAGGAACCTTAAAGTGCATGAGACGGGATAAAACATTGTAAGGGCACAGAAGGGTTAGCAGACCATTTACAGAAACCACTTGAAAGAAGAGTTGTGCCACCGCTTATACTAACCCAAATCACGAAGGCTGGATAAATTTAAGAAGGTAAATATTACCACTAAAGTCAATATTAGTCTGCTATAGATAAAATTCAAGTCGAAATTCCCCAGCAAAGTAAATCTGACTCCTTAAGTTATTATTCTACAATTTCATGGTTACATTTACTTTAAAGGAGTATATATACATGTACGAACTGAAGGATAAAGATATGGAGCAAGGGATTTAAAAGAGACATATGTCTCATTTAACCGCATTAAAATTATCTGATTGAATGCTGTGATGATGTCTACTCAAAACGACAAAGGAGGTGTTGATTGGGTTAATTGCTGAAGCTGAAATAAACTCAAGTAATAATTGAACATTCAAAACTGTAAATTAGTGCCGCTCAATATTTGTTGCTTGAATTTTAACATGTAATGTGTGATTACTCTTGAGATCACAAAGAACGGCCAAATACCTCTACCGTCTTAGTTGTCAAAATCGCATTCTTAATGGCAGTGTGGGGCGTTCAGTTCCTTAGGGCCATGTCTATGGTTAGTCTCTTCCATTAAGGAATATCTTGGTACTGTGCGTTATTCTCTGGGCCCCTCATAATATTCCTAAGTTTATTTTGTTGATAAAAATCTTGCGTTATGTCTTAATCTCCCGTAACTGTCTCAAGTCATTCGTCTGGAGTGAAAGTAGATGGCATTCCGTGAAAACTCGTAATCTTCTATTTTATGGCGACTAATGCGAAGCTAGTCTGCTATTTTCAGGTGCTTCAACAACCATGTATTTGGCAATTAAAGACATCATAAAGACCTAAATGAAGTGAATAATTGCCCTCAGATCCCTGCTCCACTTCGATAACTTTTATGCGTCGGTAGACAGAAGCTCTAGTCAAATAGTGGAGGAGCACAGCGGCTGACTTTGACGGCACTCAGTACCTCGTCTGATTGCCAAGTGACAATAATATGATTTTATTCCCTTCCTTTCTCGATTTGTAAAGCCAAATTCTCTTGCCTTAAGTGGGAAGAATACATGGGTGCCAGTGAACCAATTCGGTCTTCGATAGAAACCAGCATTGTTGGGAATGAAAATTGCAATATTTTGAAAACAAAAGTTAAGAGGCTGAAGAAATTTTGGAATACTTTTTTTTCATTTCTCATAGGATTGAGAATGGATTTGAATAGGAATGTGTATTTTTTATATCGCACTGTATCAAATCTACGACTTTTTGTTTCTATAAGTTATAAATATAGGTCTAAATGTATTTTTATTGTTATGGTCCCCTAAAAAGCTTACCAAGATGCAATTAATAATTTCGTTTGTTGAAAGCAGATGAAGGAAGTAGGTCCCGCATCAAATACCCCTTTACTTACAACTTCATAGTGGTGCATTAGTTTAATTACTGAGTATGCCTACCTTACTTTTTCCTTCAAAATATCTATAGAAGCCTTCAAAAAGTCTTGTTCACATAGGGAGGAAAAACACTGGTAAAAATTACAGGTTAACTTAAATTCCGACATTTTTGCCTAGCATGTAATAACAACGAGGTTAATAAAATTCAATGCTTACATTTGCACCCCCGGGACTTCCCAAAAGACACATTTAGGAAAAATACTCTAGTAGATTACGTAATTTGGAAATACAGAAGAGATCGGTGCTACTGACTCTGTCTGGAGACCATGCCGTCCGACAAAAGTACAGTGGCGAAGCCCCTAAGTGGCCCTTACCAAAACCGAGGATTGAACAAACTTTTAACGTTAATTAATAAAGGAGATTTTCAGGTTTACAGGAGAAATTTGAAAAATTTCATTTGATAATAACTGCACTTTTTCTGTCAGCACGACTGAACCATTCAGGGTACCTGCCTGCCTCATAGCTTGTAGTTTGATAATCGAGGAAAGTAAAAATGTATGTAAGTTGTAATTTTTGCCGTTCTTTCAAAGGGCTTCAGTACGTGCACAGCGTCTTGTAACAGTAAGCTTCTATCACATGTCCAGAAGTTAGAATCCGGAGTTGCACGCGCCGAAGGACTGCGGAGGTGGTGGGCGGTGGCGGATCATTACTGGTCCAGAATGTACGACTGGCTCTAAAACGTGTACACTACAAATGGCTAAATGTCAATGTCTACTGAGCCTAGGATATGCTCAGATTTGGAGGGTGTAACTTTGCTCATCATTGGGCAGATTGTCTAAGAATAATCTAAACGTGTAATTAATTCTCTGCGTTGAAGTTTCTTTACTAGCACTAGTAAGAAATTGGGATTAGTGTTGAAGTACAATAAGGGACTAGGTGGAAAAAAGGAACGTAGTTATTTAACCTAAAATGTGTTGCCTACTCATCCCCTTTCGACTTGTCAATTTTTTGTTTGACTTGAATACGACCTCGCATTGATTACTCACATTTTGTTGCACTCAACACTTGTCGACCTACATACCAAGCTCCTCAATTTTTATGCCAATGAACAATAATTTTCCTGGGTACAAAATCAATCGTATAGTTCAGCCATCTTACAGAACACAATGCCTATCCTATCTGTGTAATGTGTTCACCATCAACACAGTCTTTG